ATCAATACCAACAACATGGTGTAATCGCAATATTAAAATGTCGTGGTCTACTGTATCAAAGGCAGCAGTTAGGTCAAGTAAAATCAGAACAACATGGTTACCAGAATCACATGCAGAAAGGATGTCATTAAAAACTCWAATTAAAGCAGATTCTGTGCTATGACGAGTTTTGAAACCTGACTGAAAAACCTCCAGAATGCCATTGTCATCTAAAAACTGTCAGCTGACAGTACACAATATTTTCTAAAACCTTAGAAAGAAAAGGCAGCTTTGAAATAGGTCGATAATTAGCCAGAACTGTGGGATCAAGGCCAGGTTTTTTAAGCAGTGGCTGCACTACTGCATGTTTAAAACTAGCAGGGACCACACCTGAGGACAGACTGCTATTTATAATTGCAAGAACAGGCTGCCCAATGCTAGATAAAATATCTTTAAAAAATCGTGGAGGGACAGGATCATGGGGGGAACCTGATGGCTTAATGACATTAGTGTGTGATGGAGCCGCTCCTCGAACAACAACAAACGTTCGTCTGTAATGGCTGCCGTCTACCGGTGTTCTGAAAAAGTTTGTATCCCTGAAAAAAGTTTCCCCACCAGAGGAAGTTCAAAAAATGGGGGTTGTACTATACATGAGATCGTATTATACACGAATAAATACGGTAAATAATCAGCTTCTTCTCACAAAATATGTAAATGATACAAATAAAAGCATCTTCGTGCTCAGACAGATTAGATGTGAAGAACATGTATAATCACTGAGATTAGCTGGTAAATAACCTATAAACAAGAAACAGGAAACTAAATATTAAGCTGAGCTTCTATACTGTGAAATCTTAGACCAATTTAAATTTTAAACTATTTTCATTTCTTTAAAGCTGTTTTCAGGTTTCACTGATCGGCTTAAAGTCCATCTGTTCCCATCAGAGACTCAACTCTTTAAAACCTCTTAGAAATGTTTAGATTTGTTTAAAAAAATTGAAAAAAAAAACTCAGGACAGCAGCGAAAGGTTAATGTGTCAGATTATTTCCAGCAGCAGATTAACCCACATTTAGAGCTCTCATCTCTTAAATGACTAAAAGTCCTTAAATGTCTTTGAGTTTCCCACCGAATTGGACTGGAACAGATTCTAATACTTTCACTGTGATGTTTTAGCTCTCTCACRCTCACCTAATCGTTAAAACAAATCGATCTAAAGTATGCAGAAACATAAAAAACAAAACTTAATCTGTACTCTCTGATTTCAGCGTTTCAGTTCAGAAAACACATTTCATAAGAAATTGCATTACAAACAMACAAAACTGCTGTCTGGTGACAAACAGTTGGATCTTTTTAGAAATGAGAAAGTTCAATCAGAGTAAAACCACAACGTACCGTAGCTTCAACCTGCTAACCTATGCATGGCTCTTCTGTTTGCAGCATCATCACGTCCAAACCAACTGCCAGGGGCATTAGCACTTCCTTTTTTATAAATACTGATGCATGTTGGAAATGTGTACAAATCTTTTCTGTGAAGTAATGTAGCGAGCGGAAGAACAAAAACTGACAGAGTGCCAACGCAGTGCGATGCAGCTTATCGTTTTTCCTCAACATGCAGTATTTGTGTTTGAGCTTTCAGACAGACACACAAACACAGCGAGTGGTGCTTCTTATGGAATGGATTAGAAATTATTTATGTTTTATTTGTGCAAACAAACTGATGTGGATCTTAAAACCAGAGGTCTATAAAGTACTTGCAAAAATACTAAGTAAAAGTAAAAAYACCTTAAAGATGGCAAAAAACTTATTTATATGTAATTTTGAAATGCGTAATTGCGTTAAATTGTAAAGAAGTAAAAGGTATAATTTTTAGGTTTTAAATGTAACAAAATAAAAGTAAAAGTAATAATTTTAAAAAACACAAATCCTCAAAAAATTACTTAATTGCTGTAACAAAGTAAATATACTTAAACTCTGCTTAAAACACATGAAGTTACACTGAATGAATGTAAGCACAGTAATAATTTTACTGCCATTTCGTTTTCTTTTCGTTTGTGCTGCTGTTAAAACACATTTTAGCAGGTTTTACAGCTAAATGGAAATTATTGGACTGTTTTGTTTTCCTCAGATGCGTATTTTCAAAAGCTGCTCTCTGATTGGTCAGTATCTGAGTCTGCATCGTGTGCAGAACATGGCGGCTTGGTGAAATGAAATGACTAAGGTATTGTAGCTATAAAATGTTTTCTCAAATAGAAAAAAAAAACAAAGAAGTGGGTAAATTAGTAGCTGTTGCAAAGGCTACCCACAAGCTAACTGTATGTAGCCATTTTGCACCAACTGCAGTTGAGTTGTTTTCTTTAATGTGTTCACAAAAAACTAATTTTTGTGCCAAAAAAAGGTCTTTATGAAGACRAAATGACAAACAGATATGTAGTAACTGCATTTTGAGAATCTATGCTAACACTTAATGGTACTCGTTGCAAAGTTATGAAAAAGCAAACCATAAAATTCTGCACATTGTTTTTATTTTCATATTGTTGATTAATGTTTTAGGTTTTAAAACAGTCCATTTCGTAGTTAGAAAAGATCACAAATGTGTGAAGCGGGCCGACCTCACGTTTAGAGAAGGTTTATTGGGGAAAAGATCAGGTTGCTTTTTCAACAGATAAATTTACACCGTTATACCGAGCCGATRTATGTGCTGTAAACTGATTTGATTAAACTTTACTTCAGGGTCATAGATGTGATTTTTCATAAAAATCTAAATGTGCTTTTTGAGCTTATTGAGTTTTATAAGCTAGGCTTCACTGTGCATTTTTAACTACGAAATGGTCTATTGTCAACAACGTTTGCATACAAACCCAGCCGAAATGACAGAAAACAGGTCAAACTGCAGTGGTCCCATTTGTTTGGATGCTGAGCTGTTTTTACATCACGCCACCTGTTTCAGCAGTAAACTTTTCATAAGTTGTCTAAAATGTTATAGTGTGACAGGAGGTAAGAAAAGATCCTGCAGGTTTTACATGTTTTATCTGCTTATGGCTTCATTTGAGTGAACAAGTGAGTGATAACCTGAAAGGTGCAGGATTGCGCCCCCTGGTGGACCGGGATTGGACCCCACTGAGCTAATGTAGGTCAGTCWTGTGACTCGAGCTTCCATATGGTTTTCGTTGGACTCTGCTTTGTTTACATCAACCCATATTTCAGTATATTTGAAACACTTTGAAACACTTTGCATGGAGTACCTTTAAGAGAAATAAATCCTAGCTCGAGCCTTTGAGGATTGCTCTTTTTGTTTTCTAGGATTTTTCATTCAGAAGACAAAATCTTGACCTACTGATGTCATTCACATTTCAGATTAAAACCAAGAAAACATTTTCTTCCTATGCAGTTTTTCAGAAATCAGCACCTTTGTGAAGCYTTTTGGCATTGTGTTGTTTTTGTTTAATAGATGCACTTTTCCTGCTGCTTTGCCTTCGTCCTCTCTGAGAGGGTTAGTTGTGTAAGTTGTTGATTTTTTTTTTTTTTGGTTATTTATAGATATTTTATTTGATGTATTTTCCTCTGTGCTCCTGGCATCATTATTGTGTGAACAAAAGTGCAAAACAAACTTATTTTCAGCCAGCCTTGTGCAACAGATCAGACTTCTTGTGTTGATTCTGTCCCGTTTTTCCTCTTTTTTGCTGTTTTTCTTTTTTATGTATGACTGCTGTATAAAGTTATTAATTCCAGCACAGTCTTCAGATCCTGTTTAATTTCTTCTTTTTTTAATTGTTAAATAAGTATCGATTGATTTTTTTAGTCGAAGCCTGAGTCCAGGTTCAGTTTTAAAATGTTTACAATCTTTAACTAAGTGTTTTAATTTATAATTTCAGTGTTGTTTAGTCTTCTGTGAGCTTTTCTTCCCCATTAGAAATTCTTAAAATAGGAGTGCAACTATACCTGTACCAAACCATTCAATACACACTATGTGGAACAAAACAGATTTTTAACATTTATTTTATCAGCTTGTCTTCTGAAGATGATTTGTGTTGAAGGATCAGTAGATCTGTGTTCGACTRCTTCAGCTAGGCTGCATTGTGGAGCACAGATCCACTGAGAAACTYRCTGTTTCAGCAATATTTTATTTAAAAACTGGACTTTTGAGGTTAAAAAATGTTAACAAATAATTTTAAGAAATTACAAGTTAAGAAGGGCATGAACATTTCTCTTTTTGTTTCAAAATGTATTGAATCGTGAGACTAAAGTATTGAACCAAATCAGAGATTGTATCGATGCAGCCCTTTTAAAATTATCTTCAGTTTTTTTGTGTATGCAATGGTCACTTTCTGAAAAGTTWAGTGAAATCGGTCCGGTGGTTTATGAGATATTTTGCTAACAGAYATAATCAGAGACAATCCATTACCAACTTTACAAGGCAACAAAATACTTTTGAGGTTTCGGTAAGACATAAGAGCTATAAAACACTTTCTTTGAAAACATGTGAGGAAGCCGCAAAAAAAAGTGAAGCTGAGGTTTAAATRCTAAAAGAAGCAAAACACCAGCTAGAAGAAAGGCTAGATAAAAGTAGCAAAATGTGATTTGTTGGCTAAATGTATCAAAAGATTTGTGCTAAATAATGCAAAATGTAAGATAAGAACTGACAAGATCTTAATGTCTTTCTATAAGGAAGATATTTATAAAGTTAAATATTTTAAAAAGTGTAAAGTAAGTAAGTAAAGTTTATTTATATAGCACCTTTCAAAGAAATAAATTCACATGGTGCTGTACATTCAGGGAAGTGGGGAGGGGGCAGTTAAGAAACACCCATTCAAGAAGACATACAAGGCAAACATTGGGGAACAGGTGAAACCAGCCATGTCAAAAAGTGATGCTGACTCAGCAAATATATAGTATATAAAAGACTAGATGTACAACAAATGACTATCAAATTTAAAACTGAGTAAAATGGGTTTATTAATTCAGATAAAACTGAAAGTGTTTCCAGGATCAGATCAAACAGGTCCGTYCTSTTTTTTTATGATCAAAASTTTTCTGCTGCCAGGAAAACTTTTTAGAAACATWTTTAAAAATGTGACCTTTCCTTTGTGTAAACTTAATTAAAGGGTATTTTTAAGAAAACGATCAATGGATTCACTCTCAACTTTTTCTTTCTCTATTTTCAGTTATTTAAAGAATCTCAAAATGGTCTTTTAAAGGAGATAATAGTCAAGATTGTTTTGGTTCAGGTTTGATGCAGCCCATAATTGGAGGATGACTCAGCAAAGCTTTTGCAAACTAAAAACAAAACAGAAAGAGAAAGAACAAATAAAAACGAAAGTAAGCTCAGCTGCCAAGAACCTATTAGAAGAAWGAAAAAACACAACAATGAGGATCTGATAAAAGCTGAGAAAACCTAAAAGGTGAAGTGGAGAATGTTCTGAACCGAGACAAAATCTGAAGATGAGACTAAAGCTGTTGAGGACATCTAGAGGCAATGATGGGAAACACAGAAACCAAACTGATGAGGAAGATAAAAACCAATAAATCAAACAGAAACAAAACTAAAACCTGTAATAAATAACCAATGGGTTTTAAAAAAGCAAGAAATCAGTTGTTTCTTATTATTACTGCAGAAGCTTTGAAATCCTAAATCCTTAGTTTAAAACCTTGCTGCACTGAATGCTTCAGATCCTATTGAAGCTCTTTGAAATATTTCATCAAACACTGGACAAAAATGATTAAAACTCACACAAAGTCATCACCAGAGGTTCCTCAAACTAATGGTCCAAGGCAAGGATTTTAATGAAACTGCCATAAAGTCATCATTGAATCAACGTTGGAGCTAAAAGCATCTGTTTTCAGAATTTTTGCTCTGTTTGCTGTTGTGATCAAAACATGACAAATGATTCAGAGGCAGCAGCACAGCTCAGGCCCGGGGTTATATCATGTATTATTTACACAGCAGCAGCAGCAGAGTAACATGATCTCTGTATCACCAATCACTCAGTGAGACTGGGCAGGTGAGGGTGGAAACAAAACCAAAAACTAACGCACACAACACAGCTGTAGGGGTGTTTGTTCTCCAACATATTGTCCCTGAACAGGACGGGCAACATGCTTCATTTGCATCAGGCAGCTTTATGAAGATGTTCACTCGTTTCACTTTTATTCTACCAACAGGATTGTGTTAACAGAGAATGTGTGTTTCTGATGTGACATTGTTGTGAGGTTTTCTTAYAAGGGTGTGTCTCAGACAGAGGACAGCGCACCTGCTAAACTCTTCATCAGGACATCATCGGTAAGTTTTTCCATCTTTTTTATACATAAAACAAGTTTTATTGTGTTTGGATTGGTCCTATTGAAAACCACAGAAAAGCAAATTGGAATTCTGAGCTTTAATGTAGTAAAAGTTTCTGTTATAACCAGAAGATGTTTCTCTAACCGGGTACCATTTTATATCAGTCCATCAGAATATTTTGGTTCCATTTCCTCTTTAATTCTTTCCTCACTTGGGGGTGTGTTTTTGGTAACAGTATGAATCAAACCTGAATCTAATAAACCTTAAATCTTTGTGGGCAAAGCTGAGCAAACATCCGTCACTCAGAGAACTTGACAACATGGCGACAGGGCTGACTGCTGAGTAAAGTTTCATTTGGTTATTTGCAAATTAGTTTTTAAACTGAGGACTTGACTTGTGAAAGTCTGGAAATCAACAAGAAGATTTTAAATAATATATGATGGACATTTTGTAACCCATTAACTGAATGTTAGATGCAGTTTTGTATTTTTATACTTTTTGATCATTTCAGCCTTTAAGGTTAAAGCAGACGAGTTGGTGTGTGTCTTATTCTGTGTTCTTTCTTTTAGCTTAAACGAAAAAGTTACGTTCTACGTCTGACATAAAAGGAACCACCTCCAGGGGTGTAACCACGGAGATAAATATGTTATAAGGTCAATTCATTATTATAATAAAAAGAAGTTGTGAGTGTTTGGCAAACAGCACAAGTTCAGAAGTTCTGACAGGAATCATCAAAGACTACAGATGTCCTGGTATAAAAACTAAACTAATAATCCATAAAAAAACAATTGTAAACTGGTCCCAGCTTGACAATCTTACTTTGATAGTAAATGTGAGAGAGTTTGATAGTAAATGTGAGAGAGTTTGATAGTAAATGT